CTATGAAAGAATCTAAGATTGATTATCTTAGGGTCGAATTATCTGCCTTAAATTCTAATCTAGCTTCGAAAAATAGTAAATTAGAGCGCATGAAGAATATGTTTACTTTAAAAAATGGTGAATTGGAACTAATAAAAAATGATTTGGCTGAAAAAAATTCAGAAATACGCTCCTTAGAAACTAGACTCAAAGAGCTATTGCCATGCAATAGATTATCATCAGAACAAGTCAAAATCAGAGGTAAGACAGATGAAAAAAATGATGATAATATATCAGTTATGCAGTCTCCGCCAAAGGATCTGGACTCTTTATCTCTTGCAAAATATTTTGTACGTAAGCCTAGACCCGAAGGGTCATTGCTTCACAATAAGAGAGAGAATAGTCAAGTAGATAGAGATATCCAAGAATCTTTGACTCAACAAACATTAACCAGTTTAAATGATAATATGCCTAAAGAATCAGAAATCTCTAATGAGAAGCAGATAAATAATGAGCAGATACGAAGTAACATTTCTCCCAAAATAAGCCCAGAGTCATCGTCACATATTATATCTAAGATAAAAAATAATAATATACCAATAAGAGAGATTGAAGCATTACCTGTTGTGACATTAGGTGCTGGCGAAGCTTTGGTTAATTATAAATATCAGATTCCCTCTATTATTAAACTTGTTGTTCTTGTTATAATAACGATACTAATTATTTGGTATATATACAGAAATATTTTTCATCCAACCAAAAAGGAAGAAAATTTTTATCCAGTATATAGAAAACAGAGTTATGGATTCCCATTCCGTCATGCAGAAAAACTCAAAGACAGGATTACCTCCAATGAAACTTTTCCTTATGGATATCAATGAGGCTACAAAGCATGCTTCATCACGCTGTATTGGACATCCAGCAATGTCATGGCCATTCGCTAAGCTAGTTACAGGAAAAAGTGGCACAGGTAAAACTAATATACTCAGAAATCTTGTTCTTGGTGACAAAGCTGAATATATACATAAAAAGAAAAAGGGTGGATCTAGATATATATGGTGTGATGATTTGATAGTTTGTGGATACCATTCTGATGAACCAAAATGGGCTTTCGTTAGATATATGTATAGAATAATTGCAAGTAATCCAAGAGCATCATATTACGAAAATATTAGATTTAGTTATATCTCACCTGAAAAAATTCCTAGTGTAAAATCTTTCTTCCCCGAAAGAAGTACTGTTATTATCTTTGAAGATTTATATGTTGCCCCCAAGTCTATACAAAATCGAATTATTCCATTTTTCACACATGGACATCATCGAAATATTTCACCTATATTTACCATGCAAAAATACCATCATGTTCCAATGATCATCCATGAGAATCTTTCTCATATATTAATGTTCAATAGTGGTAGTTCTCCTCAAGACTGTGCCAAAATTGTAGGATGGTATACCGATGATGTAAAAGGTGCATCAATGGTTATTAATAACTACCTTCGCAAGGGTGAGTTTATTGTATTTGACCTTAATAAAGCAGAGAATGATCCACTTGCAATTCGGTTAAGATTTGATACTCCACTAGATTTGCAGAAAGAGATAGAATTACAGCAAAAGCGCAAAATAAAAAATGCATTACCTGTGGAGCCCACGAATTCTGAACCTAAAAAGGCTAAAAAATCGAATAAATAATATAAATAATATAATTAAGAAATTGATTAAATATTATGCTTCTATTTCTAAAAGTCGTTTTTGGAATCTATTCCGCAATTGACTCTTTTTAAAATCTATCCAATTATCCGGAATATAATATTCTTTATATTGTCTATTAATAATGGAACTGCGCATCATAGGATTGTTTTTATAAAATTCAATCCATTTAGTATGCCACTGATTAAATTGTTCTCGGGTTTGAGGATTTTTCACTTCATGGCTCATTAAACCTAGAAACTTCTTATCTTCTGGAATATTATCATTCGGTAAACTCAACCAGGCAAGCCATGCATTTGATGGGTCCCTTTCTTTGAATCGTCTCCAAGCATTTTGAATAATTCTTGCTGAACCATCTCTAGTTTTAGCTTAGCTACATGAATAATCCCAATGTTGCTTCATCAAATCTGCTGGTTCAACTGTCTCAATATATCTATATATAGCAAAAGCATATATTTTCTTTGGTTTCACATCATTGACTTGAATCAATTGCCAGCAATTAAGACAAATAGCCATACGGGTTTTGTGAATTTTAGGTCTGTAGTAATCATAATCAACTAGCTTACCTTTACCAAATGATGCATATAAACAACACACATGATAGACGCTCCATTTCTTTTCAGAGACCAGCTCTTGTAAAGGAACTCTGACCCGAATAGCCCATTGTTGTGGAGTTTCATTGGGTCGAATAACTGATAAAGTATCATATTTTCTTTCAGTCTCAAAGAGTTCATCAAAGAATTGTTAATAATCGTTAATACCACAATAATTATAAACATAATTAATAACATACTTCATATCATATCCTGGTCTATTATTAATGAGTTTCTGTGATTTAGCTTTTTTATCAATAATAGTTGGGATAGTAAGACCTGACATATTTGACAGTTTAACATATTATAGTGTTTAGACGGTTATATAGATAATATTAGGAATATTAGACCTATTAGATTTGGTATGATATATATAATTAAAACTAGATTCATTTTTAGTGTGAATTGGGTTATTAGATGAGTTGTGTATATTTGTCATATTTTGTGAGTGATATATAAATGAGAATGAGAGAGATGCATATTGGGTTGTAGCGAGAATTGTAAACCCAAAGGGTGCAAAAAATTTCACTTGCATTATTCTCGTATTCAAATTGTATCTCATATAAAAAATTAAGAAATAAGCTTAAAATTATATTTTATGCGGTCCAATTGAATCATCTAATTGATTATTTTTGCGGACTGAACGAACCACCCAAGTCAAAGTACTGAGCCATCAGCAATGATGATTATGCTCTTTCGAATACACAACACACATAGTCAGAGGCCCTATCATCAAGAGGTGAAGACTCAAGCGAAATTTTTTGCATAACTATATATACCCGTAACAAGTAACCTGGGTGGTCGATCTATCAACACAAAAGTGATTCAACATCAATTAACAAATTTGAAATGCTATACATATCCGGTTTAGATCGAATATAACTTTATTCATCGATGGTAGTATAGGGACATTGGTAAGGTATTGCAAAGCAATGAAACAAGTCTCTTAAATTTTGTTCATATACATTTTTTTCTGGTGAATACATTCAATCACTCTCTGTGATGTGGTTCAGTTGTTTAGGAAGTCTGCGTTACCCTCCCCCTAATACACGCCCCACATTGAGGATGACGATCATGCCCAGAATAAAGGAAAATGTTATGTGTTTCGAGATGGATACATTCAAACTATTTCTCATCTCGTAGCTCAGTAGACGAAACCACAGGAAGCCTGCATGATCTTCCTCTCCTTACTACGCAAACAATGATAATTTGACGATCGCGCCCTCTATAATGGTGTTTTTATAAGCGTAGAAAGAAAAAATAAATGAAATATATGACATGCTTTCAAGGGAGAGAGTACACGGATCCTAAACCATTTAATGCGAGTCCCTGTGCCATATTATTTTTCTAATATAAAAGATACATAGTCAAAGGCCCTATCTCTTTAGAAACGAAATTTTTTGCTTGACTGAAGAAGACTATATTATTAGAAGACAGCTAGATTGCATATTTTTGTGGAACAAACGAACTACCATCGCCAAAGCACTAAGCCCTCTGCTCTGTTGAAGCAAGAAGATTGTGCGCATGTTCAATCCCACAACTCGCTGAAGCAAACTCGTGTCAAATAGCTATAGAAGTCGTCTTATCAACACAAAAACAACCTAGTATGAAAAGGTAGAAGAAAGTGTATTATCGGTAAAAAAAATCAAAATTTTATTACAAAAAAGATTTATATAAGGGGATACTATTGCATTATACATAATAATTAATCCCATATCGATATTGTACATGTTTGCATAATTGTTAGCCTCATATTTGTTTTTAACATTAAGGGGTAGATTACCTGATAAGCTATAAATATCCATACTCTTCTTGTGTATATATTAGCAATAATTTTACCGAATTTTAAATAAAGCATATGCGTATCAGTATAAGATGTTCAATCAACATGCATCTACGAAATTCAACAAACATTTTGTCAGTATACAGTATACAAATTTAGAATAAGGGCTGTGGATACGAACAAAGAAATATCATAAATAACATACCTGTAAATACATGTGTGGCTTTATTTTAACACATGCGTCAAATGAGATTACGCAAAAATTCGATAATTTAAATTTCGCTTATTTTGAACAGTACTTCAACAGTGGCTTAGCGATTTTATATGTGTTTATTAAGAAAAAGCCAACAGCACTTCAACAGTGGCTTAACAGCAGTTATCGTGTGCTCCATTTTAGCACAACACGTAGCGGTAATTTAATTTCACAGCTGTTAGATAACTTAATGGTCCCACGGGTCTGCATGCATAATTTACCAATTTTTATCACATAAATTCCATATCCCTGACAGCTTCCAGAGGCCGTCGGAGTAATATTTTTATGATAACGATGACATTCACATCACTTGATATTCAGGTTTATCAAGTGATAAAACCTTGACTGGCATTAATAATCAATGGCCTGCATTATTGCTTCGCAATGACCCAAAGGGTCTAAATTTTATGTGGTGTTACCTTAATTTCTCATGGTCAATTTTTGATAACGAATATCTAGAAAGCCTTTTCTTATTATATATGATACTGCGATAAGAAAAAGCGCAAATGGAACTTAAAAGGGCTATAATAGGGAAGAGTACAACTTTCTTTATCAGTAGTTTTATCGAAATTCATATGTTACTAGGACTTGGAATCTCCGCCATTCCCAGATCGTCAACTTTTTTCACTTCGTAGTAGCGATCGTCAAATCTAAGGGGGTTTAATTTCACCTAAAAAACGACGAAATAAATTCAGTATTTGGAACTTATAGCCGAACGGGGTTGCTTTACATGGCTGGATCTGGTATTGTGTTAGGGTAACGCAATTACTAATCATGTAACTTTTTTTTTCTGGTAGGTTTTTTAGATCTATCGAATGAGGGTATAAAAATAAGCGATTTTTATCAGTAAGGTAAGTTACCAATAACGTTATTTTTGCTCATATATTTTTTACCTGATTCACTTGCCTGTATATTTTTTTTAAGTAATTTGCTACATATAATTTCATTTAATGAAGACTATGAAGATGATTTTTTACTTACTATGTTTTTTGTATTTAGGAACGAAAAATGAGCACTAACGATAACACTACCTCCAAGACTAACGAACCGAACCCTAAGACTAATGAATATATTTATCTTAATTGTCTCATCACGCTCTGCTTACTGTATCATTTTTTTAAAATCAAAGTTTCTAATAGAAGTGATGTTGAATCATTAGAAACTCAAGTTCAAGCCCGTTTGTCCCTATTACCATCTGGTGCAACTAGCACACCTCACCGGTTTCTTATATTTCGCCCCCAAGTAGGATATGTGAATATGCATCCTCATACTAATCTTTATACTCTTTTCAGTAATAATCCTGATCAAAATATTATTCATGTACTTGTAAAACAATTACCAGGATCAGAAACACAAATTATTTGGATTTTTTTTTATTTGTATTCGCACTTATAATAGCGATATATATTTTTTATGTGTATATTGTCATTCCGGCAAAAAAATATTAAATAAAGAAGGGTCTGCTGGGCTCCTAATCATCTTTTATTTTTACGTGATTTTGACCCTTTAGGGTCATCCCTTCAGGCCTGCAATGCAATTTGTGATTATTAATTAGTGGAAATAAAAGAGTTTTCTTATTAACCTATGCTTTTACGGTTACTATTTGGATTGAATTTTGATATTTATTTTTATAACAATAGAGACGATAAGTTTTTTTACCACAATATTCACCACTTTCCCACTCATCCTCTATAAAATTTCTTATATTCTCTTTTTTATGATCATTGTTGCATATAGGACAAAGTACAGATCTATTAAAATCAAAATAATTACTATATTTAAAACTATGTTTCAAAGTTAAATAAGGAAATCGTTCTAATACCATTTCAATAACATGTTGTTGCCTTTCTTCCAGGTCTTTAGGTAGAACAGAAATTGATGATCGAAGTTTGGATGGTGTAGGCTGAACATTTATCTGTGGTACAAATAACGTCTTTTTTTCGGCATCTTTTTTGATTTGTGGGGATTCAGAAGTTTCAGACTTTATCCAAGGATCGAGTCCAGTCTCTTCCGTATATGCTCTATATAAGCTCAAATGAATTTTATCTGTCTGAGAACTTGGTAAATCAACTAAATTAGCATGCCAGTCCAAATATTCAGGAGTCAAGACTTTATCCATGTTATTGTTTTATACAATCACAAATTCAAATTAAGTATGAGTCGTGTCTTTGTCTTACTTATATAACAAGGATACTTACGTGCTGACACTCTGTGCATATCCCAAAATAGTAACTAAAAAAATAATATAGTTAATATTTACGATCATTTGAAACCGGAGAATTTGTCGAAGGCAGTATGTCTTTATGATTTATGCTGTTATCTCGATTTCATGCTTTCTACATTTAATAAAATAAGATCCAGCTTTGTATCTACCCTTTACACTTTTTCCTTTCTCGTGACTGTGCTTGCATACTAGACATAAGGACCCCTCATGAATTCTATAATAATCAAATTTTTCACTACTAAATTCTTTATATAGATCAGAATATCTCCACAATATCTTATTACAAAAGTAAGCATGGTCATGGGTTGGATTGGATGATGCGCTTGCCTCGGTTGATTCCTCTGAAATCGTTTCTGATGATTTTTTCGGTGATAACTTCTCAGAAAATGCACTTACCTTAGTTTCTGGTAAAGTACTCACAATTTCGGTTGTATGATTTTGGTGACGGGCCGTCGTTGAAATTTCAGTCATGTGATTTCCTATATTAGACTCATGATTAGAAATATTATCAATTATCTTTTGAATTTGTTCGTTGGTCAATTCTGAAATAGAATTTGTGCTATATGCTTTAAGATATTTAATTTTATCTATACCTATTTTGTCAAATAATTTATAAGTCCTTACGGCCTTTTGGGTCTTTTTGCATAAAGTTTTACGCGAAATTTCTGGGAGCTGTAATCCCATTTCCTTGGACCTTCTTTCACGGATGATATTAAGGTGTTCCAATATTTTATCATATATTATACCCTTTGCCTTTTTCTCGCCAATTTTTCCATTACTATTTTTCACAAGATCATTATACTGAATTATAAATTCTTTTTCATAATTAGTCCAGCATAAAGTTTCTTCTTGGTTAGCTTTTATGGCGCTATATTCGGCATCAGTTGCCTTATCAAATAATTGTGCTAAATCAAATAATAAGACAGAAGAATTTTGGTGAAGAGCTGTCGCTGAAATTTCTGTCACATGATTTGAATCTAAAAGATTATCATCAGCTATCACTTGAGTGATATTCTCGGTTCCCTTTTTCTTGTGCGATTTGTTCTGGTTTTTATTTTGATTCTGATCCCAAAGCTCTTTCACAGGTTTCAAGTCCAGAGATTTAGGTGTCGACATGGTTGATGTTTCGGATTGTATTGGTGGTGTTAAGTTATTATGTGATTCTTGAAGTTTTTTTTCCCGGTTCCTCTCTCTTATCTCACTACTAATCCTTTCCTTATGTATCGTTTCTACAAAATCTAGGATCTCAGCTGAATCGTCATTGATAATATCTTGTGGTAAAGAGGTTGTAGATGTTTCAGGCTCCGTTGAAGATTCAGATGAATCTAAAGATTCGCCCCTTTGGGCCTGGGTTGAGATATGTTCTATTTCAGGCAAGGGATTAGGAGTAATACCTTTCTCCTCATCAGAATGGCTCTTGATAAGTAGTGAAATATCTTTTGTAGAAGATGGCTCCTGTTTATTAGTAATAGCCTGCGTCTGTTTCTGTTCCAATTTGGCGATCCTGGCTTTGAGCTCAACATTCTCAGCTTTGCGTTTGGTGCTCTCTTCCATAACCTGTTTTAAAAGCTCGGCATTCTTGGCTTCGAGCTCAGCCTTTTCAGCTTCAAGTTCAGAAATTCGTTGCTTTAGTGAATCAATTTCAGATTGCATGTTTTAGTAATAGATTGTATATATTATTATTTATTTAAAATGCGTAACTGAATTTCAGCGACGGCCCGTTGTCAAAATTCCAAAAAAATATTAATCAAATATGTTTATTACGAGGTATCAAAACTAAATCACAAATAAAAATATTGCGGATTACAACCGTGATGTGCGAATTTGCATAGTAAAAAAAAAATCAAAATCAAGAAAACGTGTATCCAATATTTTATTTTGACACATCAAACATTAACAGTAATTTGTTAAAAGCCAACGATACATGTAATAATTTGTAAATTAATAAAATTTTCGAATATTGCATCAAATTTGAGATGATTTTTTACAGTACTACACAATAGAATCAAGAGACCATGGAACATCTATTCCATCCGGAGATTCTTCGCCTAATAATTCTTGCTTGAAGTCATTTGGATTTTGGACAGTGAACACTATCTTCATATTATCTTTGATCATTTTCTATTTGTAAATAAAGACAATGAAAAATAATGCATTCAATAAACTAATAAAACTTAAATTATGAAGATAAAGGATAAAGCATACCTTCACCTTCCATATGCTAACCAATACTCTTATAAGATCTTTTATTTTTTCAATAGTAGCTGGCACCTCAAGAAGCTTATCTCGTTTTAAGATTGTTACATATCCTTTAGGACTACTCATTTGTAAAACTTGTGATTTAAGACCTATAACTCAAATGATCTCAGTTTGTTTCAAAAAACTGAAAACTTTTGAATTCTTATTTTACTTACCCAAGTGAAGAATGCCCGGGATTTGTAATTTCCTTATCTTGGTTTCTTCAAAATTAACAAGTCTACACAAACATACGAAGATGTCATGCATAGCTTTGCTAATTTTAAATCCATCAGCTAGCAATTTTGTTTCATCAAATTTTTTTCCTACTTCGATTGCTCCGTACTCGATATTATTTAGATAAGTTCGAAATAATCCATCCATCTTATACCCCATCTTCTTACGGGGAAGCTTCTTGTAACGTGTACATATTCTTTTTCTATTTTTTCTTGTGGATACTGCATCACTTGTTGATTCCTTTCTATGAAAAAAGTAAGTTAAAAAAATACAGAAATGATTATGAAAGTGCCAAATAGTATGTATATACCTGACTACTTCTATTCCAAATATATCGGAAAGACCATGGTCAACAATATGCGACCACACATTGATATCGTACCAAGACTCGAGATGTGATCTTTTTAGCGGTTCATTATGATTTTCATAATACATAAGGCTTTTGTAATAAATGGATACAAATATGTGTATGTTATTAAAACATCGTAACAATCTTGCTGATAAAAAGTAAATGCTCACAATTTCCTCATCACAGTTTCAGCCCATTCAGCATCAAAATGATCTTCTTGGACATAAGGCTCATCTTCATTTCGGAAGGATGTTGTTTCTAAGACCTTCCTTAGTTCGCTTTCTGTTTCAACCTGAAATTGGAAATATTATTAAAGTTACAAACAAATCAAAAAATGCCATAACATCTTAACTTACATCGGCAAATCGCATCATAGATTCTACAAATGTTTCGTCAACTTCCGGAAATTTTCTGGTTTCACGCTGGATTTCTTTCCACTCTTCTATAGTAAATAGTTCTTCTGCCTCTCGGTCATCAAGATCAATAATCCATGAATGTAAGAGTGATTCATTTGGCAGTTCCTTGCAGTGTTCAAAAAGAGTATCTTCGATACACTTTCCAGATGTAAGAACCCATTTATGAGCTTTACTCATATCTGTGAAGTATTTGTGAAAATCTTTGAGCTGTGATGGAATTAACGGTGGTGGAGGGTTCTGATCTTCAATATCGCTTATATTACAAAAGTAATAAAGCTTTGAGCCTAAGAAAAAATTCAAAAAACTTCAATCGAAGAATTAAATACCTTGGAGTGTAAACTGAACCATTGTCACCCTCGGACAAAGGAGGAGAAGAGTTCAATGATTCAAATTCGGTCTAAAAAGAACCGCGCCAATTAGCAATTATTCCAATCATTCAGTACTGAACAGTTCACTTTAATGTAAATAACCATACCTCATCCCCCTCGTCTATTTCATTGGAAACGTTTTGTTCATCACTTATAATTTCTTCGTCTTGTTCCACATTAATACATTCTTCCTTACACTCTTCCGGATCATAAGACTTGGAATAATGTTCTGCACTTTCAACTCTATTAACTCTATTAGTAGCTTTCACTCTCCTTTTTGGTTGTTCACATGGTGCATCCGATTTATCCAACATGCGTTTTTTGATTTTTGTCGTAACTTCACTTTGTAATAAAGCACCTTGATTACGAGTCTCCCTCGTCGCATCCAGAATATGTCGGGTCTAAAATGAAATAAACTTTCAGTATCACAATATCAAGATTAGACATAATGAAAGTCGCTAATATATTACCTGTTCAAGAGCAATCTGGTGTGACAGTTCCTTCTCAAGTAATTCGTTTTTCTCTTCGAGTAACTTAATCTCCATTTGTATGTTTTGTCTTTTCATTTGCAACTCCCAAAAATAATTTACCCGCTTTGAATTTTTATCGTTCTGTTTTTAAAAATATTGCAAGAGAAAATAGACTGTTCAGACAAGTAAGCAACCTCCTGGACAAACACGCAGTCTTTCCTCTACGAACACGCAGTCCACAAAGTAGTCCGTGAAAGGTCACATACACAAGCACACAGCTTTCCCGGACAAACACGCAGTCTTTCCTCTACAAACACGCAGTCCGCAAAGCAGTCCGAGAAATTTTACATACTCACTAGTACTACTGCATACTCACTCAAACACGCGGTTTTTTCCCAGACAAACACGCAGTCTTTCCCTTGCAAACACACAGTCCGCAAAGTAGTCCAAAAAGTACACCGCGATATTAATACACAATTCTCAGACAAACACGCAGTCTTTCCTTTACGAACACGCAGTCCGAAAAGTAGTCTGTGAAGTGATGCACTGCTCACAATCAAATCGCTGAAGAATTATAGTAGACGATAATACCTTGAAGTCATGTTTCCATTTTATCACCTTTTTTCCGAATTCAGATATTTCAGTATAATACTTGCTTATAGTATTCAGTTCGCTTATATACCGATTATGTTCCGTCACTTCATCTTCCAAATCGCCTGCGCGGGATCGAAAATTCAGGAACTCATTGAGCGAAGGCTCATCCGTGCTCTCCCAAAAGGCTACATATTTTACAAACAATAGGTTACGCTATAAAGCATTTTCGTAATAAATAAATACTATTACATTAGTCATACCAGGGTATTTTAGCGCGTTGACACATTTAGGTAACAGGCGCATTTTACATTTGAGTTATCGAAAAATTGACTTTCTATATAATACATCATATGTACAATCACGTGAGACTCGACCATAATAATTTCAGCGACGGGCCGTCGCCAAAATCTGACCAGTAATCTACTGTGCCACATTACTGCTCCCGGACGCGTATCCAGTTTTTCTTGTTTTATCGTGTCTACATTAAGATCGATACAACATATATAGGATGATATCACGCTGATGAAATATACACGCAAACTAAACACGATTAATTATACGAAATCGAGCCACTGGGGCCAGCTTTATTATATAATAAAATACAGACAGATTATGTGCAGTTATAAACTTGATCTTTATTTCTAATTCTGAA